GTATTCATCCTCAGCCTTAGGATTCTCTTGTTTATTTGTCTGCTTTGTGGTTTATTTTTGCCCTAGGTTGTTTTTTGGAGGTTGTGATGCAAGGGCAGGGTACAGTGGGGGCACTGAAGGTTTGGTTTGGGCTGTGGGGACCCCAGCCTCTCCCAGGGTTCAGTAGCTGCCAGGCTTCCCAGCTCCAGTCCCCACAGTCATTGCTGTATTCTGGATGCAGCTGCCTCGTAAATGCTGCTCCACACAGGGTCTGAGGGCTGGAGGGGGCTTTGTGAGGGCCCGTGGCTTCCACGTTCCCAATAGGATTCCTCAGAGTGGGCTTCATTGGATCACCTGCATCTGAATCAAGTGGGGAGTACATAAAAAATGCAGATTACTTGGAGCCACCCCAGATCCAAATGTAACATCAGACTATCTGTGGGAATGGAGCCTAGAATCTGATCCTGGGATCGGGTCTGTGGGGAAGGTCACACTGTAATATGCAGTTTCAGTAAGTTCCCAGATTCCACTGTTCCAATGATTCACCAGATCCTACACCCTTCTCTTAGTCTTAACTGATTCCAAGTGAGGTCCTGCCTGTTCTATGCCCACCACACAACTGGTTTTTCTCTGCTTTATTCCTCCATAGAGTTGACTTTTTATAATCCTTCCTATGTATTCTCTTTCAGGAATTCCTAAATATTTCTCACCATCTATAGCAGTCTTTCTTCTTAGTCTTATTTATTTGTTTATCCTGTATTTTCATATATATATGAAAAGGATAAAGGTGTATTTCTAAGCTATGTATGTATTTAAAGGTAATAAATTTGCATTATATGGCATCTGTATTTTTCATAACTTCAGGGAGGTCTTCCCTAAATTAACCTAGATATTCTGATACTCATAAATAAGATTTATAGAAAACGCCATCACCAGCTTCTCAGAGCATCGATAACACTCTCCCTCTTCAGCAAGCACTACTGACCTGCGGGGCACGAACCCCAGCTCCCTTCCTGGCCGTCAGATCCCTGTTCTCCCTGCTCCCGGGATGAATCCTGCTTGGTCTAAACTAACTGTGGTGACCCCTTCCCCTTGCCAGTGAGTCCTTTAGAAGGGGGTGTAAAAAAGAGTTCTAGCCAAAGAGATGTAGAGAGGGCAGTTTGATGGCTTCCAGGAAAACTTTTTTCTTACTTCTAAGGAGACACCAGAAAAACAGGCCCGTCCTGCCTCTGGAGTGGTTACACTTGGATGTGGTACCTGGGTGATTTCACAGCGCCTTCCAATTTCTGGAAGTTCAAAAGGGTTAGATATACTTAGTAAATATCCAATTCATTAATAAATTGTATGTCAACATTCTTTTCAAATGAATTAGTTTGACTTGTAACTTATAATACTATGGCCAAGTTACAAATTTGGTTTTAACCTACAAATAAAATGGTATTTACATATTACTGGGGACCTCCTGAGCTCGGATGCCCTGATCAGCCCGAGGCTCTGGTCCTACACGCCCGCCCTACTGCACTTCATCGCAGTGGTGAAGGAAGGCAGCCGGCCTAGCGGTGGAAACGCTGGGAGCAGCCAACATAGAGAAAGTTCTCTAGCAATTGCAGCCATTTAAGTGGCTCAGATTTTCTAAAAATGGATACACTCTGCCTATTTTCTAATTTTAAGAAGTTCTTATACAGGCAGGAAGCACCACTTTTATAAACACAAAAAACAGCATCAGCTTTTGTGCAATTGTAGAGTGATTTCCTCCAGGTAATTCACTTGATGTACTTGAGTGAGGTTGTATATTTCTCCCTCCAACTCTAATCTCCTCTGACTTACTGTTTCTCAGTACTCATATTATAAATTATGTTAGACTACAATTAACAAAAATACCACCACAGCATGTGTTCATATTAAATGGGCAGGCTCCTTATATAGAGAGAGAATTCTGTGCACGCTTACTCGGTAAAAGTCAATTCATGTCACAACCAATAAGCTTTATTTCTTTTTCTCGGTATGCTTATTTCTGTGCTTAGCTTCTCTGCTAACTTGCCAGGACTCCACTCTATCTACTGAGTTTTGGTGTGTTCACAAATTCCCTTTGAGCTGGTAGGTGCCAGTCCTGCCTCTATTCCTGGACTGTTCCCTCTTGAGCTCCAAGAAGCCAAAGTCCCACAGTAGCTGTGGCCTGACTAGGATGCCCCCCACGTGCGGCATCTGTGTGGCCAAAGCCCTCTCTGATGTTACTAGAGGGTGGGGAACAATGATTTTTTTTTTTCTGGCAATCACTATTTTGTTTCTCTCATGTTTCTTCTCACCCAGAAAATTACTTCCTGGACCTGGTGAGCCAAGGACCTCCCTGTCCACTCATTCCTTCAACTTTAGCCACCATACATAGAAACTGAACTACTGTACTCATTGTACTATTAATTACCATGTTATAAAACATGAATATTTGTTTTTTTCCTGCAAATAATCCAATAATACATTAATTTGATACGGCATTTTTGGAATTTGTTTCTCCTTGTGTTAAGAATTTTATTAATGGGGACTGCATTAAATCTGTATATTGCTTTAGGTAATGTGCACATTTTAACTAATGATTCTTTCAATGCATGAACACTAAATATCTTTCCATTTCATTGTGTCTTTTTCAATCTCTTTTAATAATACTTTGTACTTTACAGTATATAGGTCCTTCACATCTTTTGTTTATTCTTGGTATTTTTTTGTTGTGGTTGTTGCAATTGCAAAAGGTTTTTCTGAAATTTCATTGTTAGTATATAAAAATGTAGTGGATTTTTATACATTGATTTTTGTATCCTGCAACTTTACTGTATTTTTTTTATTGTTTCTAAGTGGTTGTATTTGTTTTGTTTTTGGTGGAGTCTTCAGGGTTTTCTATTTAAAGAATCATGTCATCTGCAAAAAAGTGACATTTTTACTTCTTCATTCCCAGTTTAGATACCTTTTATTTCTTCCTCTTGCCTGACTGCTAGGACTTCAAGTACTATGTCGAATACGAGTGGTGCGAGTGGCATCTTTGTCTTATTCCTGATGTTAGAGAAAAAGCTTTCGTTTTTTCACCATTAAGTAGATTAGCTGTGGGTTTGTCATATATGGCCTTTATTATGTTGAGGTACTTCCCTTCTATACTCATTTTATTGAGTGTTTTAACATATTTTTCTTAGAAGTAGTCTATAGTCAATACAATATTTGGTTGCTAAGCATTCTAAATATTTATATTTCTTATGAGGTTTATCCTTCTAAAATACAGGAACTGAAAACCAGAGCTACCAGATTATATACCACAATGTAAAAATATTTACTTACTCTAAAAGAATATATGAATTCTATTTTAGTGTTATGATTATAGATGTACTGTATTTATACTGTAAAGTAATTTTTGAAATTTCTGAAATTCATTTTTTAAAGATTTTAAAATAAAAATTTTTTGAAATGATTGGGGTGATGTTGGTTAATAAGATTATATAGGTTTCAGGTGTACAATTCTATAATACATCAACTGTATATTGTATTGTGTGTTCACCACCCAAAGTCAAGTCTCACCATTCATCCCCCTTTACCCTCTTCTACATTCCCCCACTCCTCTTTCCCCCTCATCATCACCATACTGTTGTCTGTTTCCATGAGTTTTTGTTTTTGTTTTTGCTTAATCCCTTCGCTTTTTTCACCAACCTTTCCAATACTCCTCCCCTCTAACAGCTTTTAGTCTGTTCTCTTCATTTACGAGTCTGTTTCTATTTTGTTTGTTAGTTTATTGTTCATTAAATTCCACATATAAATGAAATCATATGGTACTGGTCTTTCTCTGACTGACTTATTTCATTTAGCATAATACTCTCCAGGTCCATTCATGCTGTTGCAAAAGGTAAGGTTTCCTTATTTTTTACAGCTGAATAAGTATTCCATTGTGTAAATGTACCACTGCTTTTTTATCCACTTGTCTGTTAATGGGTAATTGGGCTGCTTCCAAATCTTGGCTATTATAAATAACGTTGCAGTGAACATAGAGTGTGCATATATTTCCTCATATTTAAAAGAAATGGTGTTCTGGCCCTGGCCGGTATGGCTCAGCGGTTAGAGCATTGGCCTGCGGTCCAGAGAGACCCAGGTTTGGTTCCTGCTAAGGGCATGTACCTCAGTTGCAGTTTGTCCCCGGCCCTGGTTGGTCATGCGGGTGGCAGCCACTTGATGTGTCTTTTTCACATCAATGTTTCTCTCTCTCTCTCTCTCCCCCTCTCTCTCCCTCCCACTCTCTCTGAACAAAAAAATAGAAAAATGTCCTCGGGTGAGGATAAAAAAAAAAAAAGAAAAGAAATGGTGTTCTGGATATTTTACAAGGGCACTTTCTTTTTTTAAAATTTTTTCTTTATTGATTTTAAAGAGAGAGGGAGAGAGAGATAGAAACATTGATGAGAGAGAACATCGATTGGCTGCCTCCTGCATGCCCCCCCCCCACTGGGTATTTGGCTCACAACCTGGGCATGTGCCTTGACTGGGAATCGGACAGGTGACTTCTTGGTGCATGGGACAACACTCAACCACTGAGCCACACTGGCCGGGCAACAAGGGCATTTTCTTATCATTTGTTTGTCAGTATTTTATTTATTACTTATATAAAACATACGTATTCCAGCATTTCAAAAATTTTCAACTACCTTTTTGAATCTAAAATTGGTAAGTTTAAGAAACAGCTTCAATGTTGTTTCTTCTGGGCAGAGACAACAATCAAGGAAAACATTCAGAGACTATTTCACATTAAATTGATCATTTGAATAACCAGGGAAAGCTTTAATACATGGATAGGTGAATTTCTTACTGAGGGAAAGAAACATTTCATGTGTTTAAAAATATTTACAGGTCCTTCAACATACAATCTGGGCCAAAAAAGTAGCTGAGAAAAGCAGAAGAAGACCATACCCACACTCTGAATCACTCCCAGAGAAGTCAGGGAACACACCGGGGGTCTTTCTAAATTCTTACAGGTTGTTTAAAGTTCACCATCTTACATGAGCTTTTCTTTATAGTTGTCCAACTCAGTCATTGTCTTCTGAAGTTTTAGCCCCAGTGCCTCTACTTGACATTGTAAATCTGAAATGACACAATATATTCATCTCATTAGGAAAGTTTGAACCTCCAGATAGTTTCATAAAGTAAACCACATTCTTTTGGAGTTGCCACTCAGCTCCCGAAGAATAATGCACCTGTGTATTCCATTTTGCCTGGATGACCATTCTCAGCTTGTCCCTACTCTGAAACCTCACAGAATTAATGGGTTTTGACAGATCCAATTTGTTGGCCTCTTTTTGCCCCAACATCATGCTTATTTTTATTTATTTATTCATTCATTCATTCATTTTTGCTACAGATGTTTCTCCTTTTTCCCCCATTGACACCCTCCTCCCCACCCTCCTCCTCCACAGTATTGTTGTCTATGTCCATTGTTTATGCATATATGCATATAAGTTTTTTGGTTTATCTCTTCCCACGCCTCACCCCCACCTGAGGTTTGTCAGTCTGATCCCTACTTCTGTATTTCTGGGTCTATTTTGCCCATCAGCTTATTTTGCTCATTATATTACACAAATGAGTGAGATCATGTGATCTTTGTTTCTCTCTTATTGGCTTATTTTGCTTACCATAATACTCTCCAGGTCCCTCCATGTTGTCTCAAAGCATCATGCTTATTTTCAAACAGCTAATAGGCTAAACTTTACTAATGTTTTCAAAGGAAATTTATGTAGCCGACACACACAGGAATTTCTGACCATGTGGCTCACTTGTGAAAGACTTGACTAAGCTAGCTCTTGTGGCCTGGAACTGAAAAGTATTGTGAGGCCTTCTGGTAGAACTGAAATAGACAAACCGTGGGCAAGGCTCCAGGTAAAGAATTTGTCAACTCTGGGTAGCATCTCACAGGGATTTTAATGACTTTCAAAGCCAAGAAAATCCAAGCAAGAGATGGCTTCCATAGAGTTTTGAACTGTGGAATTCATATAGTGTTTAAGGAAGATCATTCAAACAGCCATGTCTAAGATGTGTGGATGCAGAACTAACACTAAAGCAGAAAGAAAAAATGCCTGAATTATCTGAGTCCTGCCTTTAGCCTGTGTATGGGAACTGTGATCTGAATCCCAGCCCCAGTGACAGCCCTTGCTGGCGCTCCTTCTGGGAACAAGTGAAAAACAAACAGATGGAATAACTGGTGTCTATGAAAAAAATATTTAAAACACTGGAATTATAAAATGTCTATGTTACATCTTCTCAGGTGTTTTAACAACATATTTTTAATAATAAATGTCAAAGTCTTCATGCATACAAATACTATATATATATATAATCTTCAATCTGGCCCTGGCTGGTTTGGCTCAGCAGTTAGAGCGTCAGCTCGCGAACCAGAGAGTCCCGGGTTCTGTTCCCACTAAGGGCACGTACCTTGGTTGCAGTTTGTCCCCATCCCTGGTTGGGATCATGTGGGTGGCAACCACTCGATGTCTCTCTCTCACATCGATGTTTCTCTCTCTTCCACCCTCTCTCTCTCCTGCTCTATCTGAAGATAAATGCAAAAAATGTCCTCAGGTGAGGATAAAAAAAACACTTCAATCTGCCTTAACTTTGTTTTATAAAGGAGAGCCATTTCCTTAAGTCAGAAAATAAATTTACTCTAAACAAATGTTTTAAGTAGAATTGATCAGATATTGGCATACCTTTTATGTTTACCCAGTACTTTCACACACTGTATTTAGTTTTATCCCTGAAACTGCCTTGTAGGTGCTAATAGCCCCAATTTTCGTATGAGGAGAACATGAGAGCCTTTGATCCTCTTGCCTGGTATCTTACAATGAGTAACTGCATTAGCCTCCAGTCAAACTCGGTGAAGATTTTAAACTCTGATGAGGCAATAAATTTGAGAGAATGGCCCCTTGAAATAAGATTCAGTAAGGACCTACTTGGTAGATAATATTTATGGGGTACATCTTTTCCATTTATCAAGTGATAACATTATATGAGAAAAAAAGATAAAATCACATACACAAAGAGAAACTTATTGTGAGTATAACCCCAATTTGGAAACAAGCACTCTCCTAAACGTTGCACAATGTGGTTCTTTGTTATTAAGTTCACGTGAGCTTGCAGATGGGTTCTATTCACATGGGCACAGCCAAAACATTTGGACCCATCCTCTAATAAGCAGGAGAGGAAGTTGATGCTTATGGTGGTGTACCATGTCCAGGCATGGTGCAGAGTGCCTTCTGCGATATCATTTCATTCATAGTCACAACTATCATGAAAAACTATTACATTTTATTTTTACCCATGAAGATTCTAAGGATCAGACTAATCAACTGACTTATCAAAGGTCACATAACTGGTTAGATGTGATCTTGTGATTCAAACTTGGGTTGGCCTCATTCCACAGTCCTTATTTTTCCAACTCTCTTACATTGAATCAAAATATGAAAGCTAGAAGGAGATAATTTGTCCATGAAAGTGTGGGTAGAGTAGGTATAAATTTGCTTAGCATATCCCAGAATCTTTAAAAAGGTATATTAAGATGGATGAGATAAACCAAAGAACTTATATGCATATATGCAAAACCAATGGACATAGACAACAATCCTGGAGGGGGGGGTCGGGAGGAGAGTGTCTAGGGGAGGGAAAAGGAGAAACATCTGCAACAAAAATAAATAAATAAATAAATAAAAAATAAAAAGTTATATTAAGACAAATGCAAAGTATTATTTTATATAACATATGCAGTAATTCAGTGAAATTTCTAACTCCAAGAGGTGGTTTATATTTTAATTTTCGAAAGTTTAAAAATTAATATATGATAGTGAATGAAAGATATTAAGACAAAATGGTGTCATTATGACCAACTTTATTAGACTAACATCAGAGACAACAATTATGACTTCCTTTTAAATGTCCCTTGGTAGTTTTGTCAGGATGTAATCCTAAAGCAGATGAAGCATGGGTCTGAGCTCATGTGAAAAATTTTGTTATTACTTCTAAATGTTATTGGTAAGAAGAAGAACTGATTCTCTCAAAAATTCCAAACAACTGACACTTGACGTGAATTTTATGCAATTAATTCTCAATGACCTGATAATTAAAATAATAGACAGTAAAATTACATAGCATTGGTAGTATCCTTGGGCTCACATTTGAATATATTTGTGCATCACAGTTCCAGAATTTACTGGGTTTAATGGAAAATAAACTACACAATCATCCAATTCAAGGAAGGAAAAACTATTACATTCTGCAGCATTATTCTCTCCACATATCCACCTAAAGCTCCCTATTTTAAGATAAACATAGATAGCTTAGTCTTTAATTCACAATACCCAATAAGTAAAGACGCCACTTCCTTCAGATTAATCACTGTTTTAGTAGCATCTCTGAGTAAAAATAAAAACTGCAAATAAACATTTTACTTCAAAATACAGAAACCTCTGAAGACTGTCATGTGAAGTAAAAAGAAGCAGGAAATACAAGTAATGTCAACAAATGAATCATTTTATATAAGCAGAGAATATATCACAGAGAATTGAAAAAAAAAAAAAAACTCATTATAAATAATCCATAATGTAAACAGCACATCAGTGTATAATTAGGAGTTTATGAATATATTTTCATAGCTGTATTTTTTTGTTTTTGTTTTTGTTTTATTTTTTACTTTTGGTTATATTTTTTCTAATAAAGGAAGGCTAAGAACTCTTTTTAAAATACATAGGCCAAATGTTTACTGTTCTGAATGAGGCGTTAAGCATCCTATTGGTTTATAATTGGTTCTGGTAGACTAGTAGGGTCCTTTTGTTTTGGGAAGCGGAGTGCCCAGTTCCTGTCCTTAGTAAATAAAGGAACACAGTTAGGATAAGCAGCAGAGATTAAGCCACCTGCACTAGACAGCTCCTTCAGTTCCTGAGGCAAGAAGTTCTTAAATAAGTGTATTGTTCTGTGCAATCCTTCTCTGTAGTTAAATAAATTCAACTTCAATTTTCTGTCATTCAGCATGACATTGGATTATGAGGCAAAGGACCCTGAATGCCTACAAAAAGCAAGCAAGCATTGGCTTTAAACACCATGCAGATGTAAGGCGGAACCCATGGAAACAATCCAAAATTTACAACATCAAACTCTACTATGATGGGACTGCGCTCTTAGCAGATATTAAATAAGAAGCAAATGATTTTCAATGAACAAGACAAAAACAGCTCTTAGCCTCTCTTCATACAAAGCCAGCTGCTTGCTGGATAGCATAACGCAGGCATCAGATTTGGGGTAATTAGTCATTTAAGAGAATCCTGTTATTCTGAAAGGTTTCTAGAAACTACAAATACAAAAGGTATTCATAGTTATTTTATAGAAGAATATAAAGATTTACAGTCATTTGGAGGGTATATTAAGGTAGTATAATAGTTTTAAAAAAATAAAGAAAACGTTTACAGTGGAAAAATATTTCAGGTTTAAAACTTTCTGGATATTAAAAATTAAATGTCTGGTTCAAAGTGCTAGATGGAGGAAAATGGCTTCAGGTTCAAGGAGCAGAATGGAGAACAAGAAGGCAGAAGAACTGGCACCCAGAGATCCGATCCAGGGGGATCTTTTCAATGAGTAATTGAAGGCTCTATAATAACAATAATACACACACACACACACACACATACTGGTGGAAATAATTAAAGAAAAGGAAAAACAAAAGCTCACTACTCTCAATACACTCTAAGACAGGATAACGTAGAGTTGCCATGCATGAACTTTAAAGCCAGAATACCTTATTTCAAATTCTGGCTCTGCTTCCCACTGGCTATGTGAATTCAAACACTTTAGTTTCCTGTCTATAAAATGGTTAATACTGCAAAGGACTGCTCTGAGAATTAAGTGACTTAGTGTATGTAAAGAGGAGAACAGTGTCAGGCACAAAATGAGAACTGGTAACAGCTAGCTATTATCATTGGTGGTAGTAGTAACAACCCACCCCTGGCTTCTGCTCTGAATCTCATCACCTGTCTTCTTGAGGAACCTGTTGGGGCCAGTATCACCAGTGGTATCTTTGTACAGGAAAGAGTCAAAATGAAGGTTTT